ACGGCTGCGCGAGCACTGGAGTGGGCAACTCATTGCAGACAGAAACTATTTGCACCACATAGATTATCCTACATTCGGATATACATGTCCCAACAAAGCTTGGCCTCGCGCTCGCGCGAATGGTTAAGAAACCCACATGTGTTTCAACCTTTTCGTTACGGGCTACCAAGCGGGCCTCTCGAGCGCGCGCGTAGAAATTATTCGATCGCCCTTGCGCGCGCGCCCAATGTTGCCCCAACAGGCCCCCACGACGGCGCCGAGACGGCCCACGGACGCCCTGCCGCGGGCACGAGGCGGGGCCCGGGACGGTGCCCTCGCACCTGGGGGCCAGGGGGCTCTGCCGTGGCGCTGGGGGCCTTGTAAAGTCGCCCGACGACGGCCCTGGCGTTTCCAGACAACGAAAACGACCAATGACCGGCCGAGATCACCTCAGAAGTGGTCCCTGACTGTCCAAGAGGCCTCCAAGACGCCCCAAGAGGTCTCCAAAATGGCTCCCAAGGAGCCTCAGGAGGCACAACTAATTTATTTTCTTTTGGTTTTTGATCGATTTTCGAGTTCTCGCCTTTTGAGTTTCCTGATGCTCCACGACGGCCCAAGAGGCTTTAATTTCCGCTCCAAGGCATCCCCACAGGCCTCGAAGACGGTCACGAGACAGCCCACGGGGGTCCCAAGACGGCGAGGCGGCCCGAGAGGGCCCCAAGATGGCCCCAAGATGGAGCCAAGAGGGTTGACACGAACCGAAAATCCGAGTCTTCCACCCCGAGAGGCCCTCAGGAGGCCCCGAGAAGCCCCTAACAGGCTCCAAGAGGCCCCAAGAAACCCCCCAGGAGGCCGAAGAGTATCCAAGAGGCCTCCCACGAAGGCCCCAAGAGGCAAAAATCCATGTCTTGCCATAGGTTTTTGATTGATGTTAGAGTTTTCAGCCTTTTGGCGTCCTGACGCTCCAAGACGGCCCAAAAGGCCTCCAAGACCAATCCAAGGTAGCCCGAGAGGCCTCCAACAGGGACCAAGACAGCCCGAGAGGGCACCAATACGGCCCCAAGGGGGGCCCAAGAGGGGTAAGACGAACCGAAAATCCGAGCCTTCCAGCCCGAGAGGCTCTCAGGAAGCCCCAGAGGCCCCCAAATGGGACCCAAGTGGCCCTCAAGAAGCTCCCCAGCAGGCCGAAGAGGTTTCAAGAAGCATTGTTTTCCCATCGGCTTTTGATGGATTTTAGAGTCCCCAGCCTTTTGGCATCCCGACGCTCCAAGACAGCCCAAGTGGCCCCCACTTCCGCTCCAAGATAGCCCAAGAGGCTTCCAAGAGGGCCCCAAGACGGCCCACGAGGGCACCAAGCCGGTGCCCGAGGCGCCCAAGACGGCCCGAGAGGGCCCCAAGAGGGCCCCAAGAGGGCCCCAAGAAGGGGAACGCGAACCCAACAACAGAGCTTTCCGCCCGAAGAGGCCCACAGGAGGCCCCAAGAGTCCCCAAGTGGTCCGACGAGGCCCCCCAAAGCCCCCCACCAGGCCCCAAAAGGCTCACAGGAGACGTACACGGGGCCCCAAGATAGCCGAACAGTGCTCTCGATGCATCAAAATTGCTTCAAGGAGGCCCCGGAAGGCTTCCGGACTGCCCCAATGTGGCTTCAAGCCGGGCCTCCACGCAGCCAAGTCGGCCAATTGACTGCTTCAGATTGCAGAACATCACTTTCCGACTGCCCGGAGAACCCTGACGATGCCCCCAAGGGACCCCAAGAAGCCCCAAGATGCCCTCCCCGAGAAGCACCCAAGAGGTGCCTCCAACAGCCACTTGAGGAAGCACGGAGAACCCCCCAGAAGCCCTTCATATGCCCCCACGAAGACCCAAGAGGTTCCCAAGAGGCCCTCAGGAGACACGACTATATCACGCGCCTGTGCTTGATAGCGCTGTCCAAGATCTTCTAGCGCGCCCCCGGCCTGGGCTAGAACCTGAGCGCGCGCGAAGCGCGCGCGATGGCTCTAGTGAATGTATATATATATATACATACATACATACATACATACATACATACATACATACATACATACATACATACATACATACATACATACATACATACATACATACATACATACATGCATGCATACATGCATGCATGCATGCATGCATGCATGCATGCATGCATACATACATACATGCATACCTATATATACACATGCATCCAAACATATATACACACGTGTATATTGTACACGTGTATTTGTATACATTTACATATAAGTTTGTATGTGCATATACACATAATTACACACGTATCCATGAACACGTACATCGACCTAGATATATAACAATGTGTGTATGTATATATATATATGTACATACACATGTGCATTCAGATATGTATCTGCATATGCAAATACATATACGTACACATACTTACAAGCATACATACATGAATAGCTACACACACAGCTTAGACAGTTTAGCATATACATATATACAACTACAGACAGAGACACAGATGTATGTGCACTGACGTTCACATATACATCAAACCGTTTACGCAAATATAAGTTACATGCACAGTACATATAGAAATGTACATTTGCATCTGCATATATGTATTTATATGAATATACTCCCTTCATGGAGAAACGATGGCCAACATAAACACACACACACACATATTCATACCCACACACGCACACACACACACACGCGCGCGCGCATACGCACACGCGCACGTACACCAGAAAATTTCAGGACCCCTTCCGGACGGCCCCAGGGCACTCTTCCGATTGCCCCCCAGGCTTCCCCGGCTAGTCGCCCGCAAATTTCAGAACTCCGCGGAGGCCCCAGAGGCTTCGCAACGAACATGAGAGCCCGAGGACAGTCCAAAACAAGCCACAACACGACCCAATTGGCTCCCAAGAAAAACCCGTAGTACCCCCAAAAGGGCGCCAGAGGTAAAAATGCTTGATGTTCCGTCTACCATCCTTGACGGCGCCATAATTCCTGAATTGTGACCAAGATAGGACTTCCCTGTGTATTATAAAAACAAGTTCCTTTGTTTCTCGAGTGCGCAAGATGTACTGCCCAGGTGCAGTGCCGTGCCGTGCCGTGCCGTACCCGCGCGCCGTGTCTTGCGCGTGCTATGTCGCGCTTGATTTCTAGAGTGCGGAAATATGCAGTGGCGTGCCCGCGTGCCATGCTGGGCGCGTGGCGTGCCGTGTCCGCGTGCCTCGTCGTGCCCGCGCGCCCGCGTGCCCGCGTGCCGTTCCGTGCGCAGTGCCGTGCCGTGTTTGAGTTTGTTAACGTGGGCAAATGCGACGTGCCGCCGTGCCGTGCCAGTTCCATGTCGTGCCTTGCCAGGTGCCGTGTTCAGTGTTCAGGCGCCGTGCACTTCGTCATGCAGCGCTGTTCTTTGGGGTCCCCATCCTGGTCTGACATTTTCCTGCGCGGCGTCGCGAGGGGCAGAACAGCACGGTACGACAACACCATTTTTTTTTATCCGCGGTTCGAGAGCGCACCTCTTCCGGTCGAAGCTAAGCGGGCCGCGCGAAGCTTGAATTAATCAGAGATGGGGAAGGAAAAGGGGGGCACAGCCTCAGATGACAACACAAAACACGCAGCATGGCAGACAATTCGTGTTGGTTTTTGGGGCCAGTCAGTCTCTAGCTCACCAGTGCCTCCACTTTTTTTCAGGTTCGCTGCTTCTCTTGGCTGGTGCTAGCTTTCGCCGCAATCAGCGGCTCATCAGGCTTGAGCCTAAATTGGCTCTGGATTCGCACTCTACCTGCAAGGAGGAAAGACTGGTCTACTCTGCAAGAACGGTTTTTTGAAGGCAGATCTGCCTTCAAAAAACCGTTCTTACAGAGTAGACCAGGGCACCGACGCGCCAAGCGCAATCCCTGTCAGCGTCGGATATGTTTGCAAGGGCCAGGGTGCTCGGGGGAAGACCGCAGGGCCACGGGGACAGACCCCCGGCGTCGTGACTCTCTCGCGGCGTGGGCCCCCGGCGATCTCGACTCCTTCCTACAGTGCCGGTTTTTTATACATGCTCCGCGTGCGGCCAAGAACGCGCCAAGAACGCCCCATGAGCGCTCCAAGAAGCGATTCGAGACACTCTGGAGGGGCGGTGCTAATTGAAGCTCCGCTCTTCTTTGATAGTTTTCCTCCAAGGTGGTCCTCAGAGCGCCTCGAACGTTCCCCAGAGCGCCTCAAGTGAGCCCCAAGAGGTGCCCAAGAAGCGCTCCAGGATCATGTATGAAAAATGCAGGGATCTAGTATTAAAAACACCGATGAGTTCATGCATAGATTCATTCATAAACTGATCATGTATTAGAATTCCCATGTTTTTAGAAATCCCATGTATTAAAAACCGCCCTGTGGGGACCGGCTTTTCAGTTCATGTCGAGTTTGACGATCCTGGGGCCCAGAGGGGCCCCAGGAGCCGAAAAAATTGGCAAAAGCGTTCCGTCGCGGCGTTTGTCACAGCGTGAGGGGGTCGGGGCATGCGCCGCAGGGCTCGATGCCGCTTGGCTCCTGCCCTGGCGGTCCCGCGCTTCCGCACGGGGCATTTCGGCGCCACCGCCGTGCTCGGCGAGGGCCACCGCGGGCTTTGGGACGGCATGCAGTCTTCTGGACCCCAGGAGGGGCGCGCGGCCCCACGACCTGGCCACGGGAATGCATAAAAAGCCACACGTCCAGCGCGTGCTTCTCCCAAATCCCCACGTCCAGCGTGCTCTGTGTGTAGACTTCTTGGCTCCTCTTCCGTCGGCAAGGCGCTCGGAGGAGGGGCGCCTGGCCACACAGGCGGCCGAGGACCTGGGCCGCCTACGCTCCGCTTCTATGCGACTCGACTCGCCGGCTGGCGCCGCGACTCTGCTTCGGTTCGGTTCGGTGTGCTTCGTTGGCATGGGCCAGGGCTGGCCGGAGCCAGGCGCGGTGCTCCGATGTCGATTCGACGCGGGGCGAGTCGTGTGCGATCTGCTCCGACTCCGGCCCGATCCGGCTTCGCGACTCGATCCGATGCGGCTCAGGCCTGCCTGCTGCCCATGCCGCCGGGGCAGGGGCGACGGCGGGGCCCGCCGCTGGGCGCAGCAGCTGCACCAGGCCGCCGCAGTCGCCCGCGCGCTGCTCGCCGCCGGGCTGCTGATGGCGGCCATGGCGGCGGCAGAGGGGACACCTGCGAGCCGGGGGGAGGAGAGCAGATAGGGGAACAGACAGCAGGTAGGGGAAAAAATCATCACGTCGGGGGTCTGGGCCCATCCCCCCCTAGCGCTGCCTCTGCTCTCTCCTAGGGGAGCAAAAAGTGGCATAAACATAAAAACTCGGAGGGCCGCGCGGATTTCTCGCATCGGCGCTGGGGGCCCCTCCCTGGCGCCTCCGGCGCCGCCCCTGGCGCGCTCCGCGCGCCAGGGAGGGGGTCCAGCGCCGATCCGAGAAATCCGCGCGGACCTCCGAGCTTTTGTGTTTATGCCACTTGTTGCTCCCCTAGGAGCGAGCAGAGGCAACGTTAGGGGGGGATGGGCCCAGACCCCCGACGTGATGATTACTTCACTGCGTCGACTCTGTAAGAACGGTTTTTTGAAGGCAGATCTGCCTTCAAAAAACCGTTCTTACAGAGTAGACCGGTCTCGACCCATTCCCCTGGACCGGTTCTTCCTCCTGAGTCGTCCGCCCCGCCCAGGCGCGTGCGGAGGCGCTGTCAGGGGGGGGGGACCTGTCGCCGACCTGTCGGCGATGCCCTCCTCCCTCCTCCCTCCTTCCTCCTCCCTCCTCCATCGCCGATTCCAGGTCGACGGTTTCCCCCCTGAGGGAGGAGGAGGAGGAGGCGGAGGAGAAGGAGCAGGAGGAGGAGCAGGGGGGGAGGGGGCAGGCACCAGGGGGGCCGCCAGCTCCCCGAAGAGAGGGCACCGCTCTCTCGAGGAAATGCCCCCCCCTCCCTCCTCCAGGACACGTCAGAGGCCCCCCGAAGCGACCTGGACGTTCCCCCTCAGGGAGGGGGGGAGGCATCGGCACGAAGCAGGCGGGTCCTGGAGGAGAGGTGCTCTGGGTTTCTTGTTTTGTCCGCAGTTTCCCGGCTCCCGGGGCTTTCCACGGGCCCTGGGACCGTCAAAAAAACACTTGGGATCCAAGGGTCCACGTTGTCAGAAATTCACGACATCGGGGGTCCGGGAGAGGGGAGGAAGAGGAGCTAGGTGCGCTCGCGCCTCGTCTGACATCCTATCCGTCCGTCCCATCCCTTCCCATGGCGCTGAATTTTCATTATCCGCGGACGCGTGTCATAGCCGACCTGCGACTCCCACAGAAAAACCGTTTCGGGCTATTCGCAATCGGAAAAGGGGAGCTGCGTGGAAGGAGGAGGTGGCGGGTGAGCAGGAGGATGAACGGGAGGACAAGGATGAGGGCGAGCAGCAGAAGCAGGAATTAAAGCGGAAGGATAGGGGGGAAAATGAGGACCAAGGTCAGGCGGCGGAGGGGACATGATGGGGGACAACAATGAAGCAAGACTCGGATGCAGAGAAGTGGCCCACGCTGGGGCGAGAGCGCCATTCTGAACGACGGGGGCAAAGCGCCGAGCCGAAAATGAGACCTACGCTGCAACGGGAGCACAATTTTGAAAGACCGAAATCAATCGGATTGCAAAATGATCAGAAGAGAAAACAATTCGAGAGGTCATATTTGCACAAAAAAAACAGCACGCGGCAGGGGCGGGAGATCTTCCAGACAATTTCAGGGGAGGAGGGAAAATAATAGCAGGAAGGCAAGAACACAGATACAAATATTCGTCGATTCCAAGGAAAAGATGGAAAACATGAAAATTGCAGAATATGGCGAACGTCCAGAAAGTATGAAAACATGTGGGGAATGCTGGGATGTCGGTTTATTTATGTGTGAGTTTCCTTGGGCTCCTTTATAGTACCCATGTTGTTTCATTGCGCAGGGAGGGCAAGGGGCGAGGGGGGATCTTTACGTGGGCTTTTGAAGGCGGCCTCGAGCATGGAAGTCTGCTTCACCCCACTTGCTTAGAACCTTATCCGCGTCCACTGGACGTCCAGACCGTCACGATAGAAGCGGCGCGCATGATGCAATCAGCATCACATCTAATTGTGCGCAGAACGACGGCCACCAGCAGCTCGACGAAGAGCGACACGCTGGGGATGCATATAGTCTGTGCGTGCGTGTAGATGCTCGTGTATGCGAACTGGTGATGGCTTACGGGGTGGTGGCAGGGCCACTCACCAGGACAACTTGTTCATGTCTGTCGGCCTCGCCTTCTGAGTTCAGCAGACGTCCGCCCGGACAGGGCTGTCGCGTTGAGTGGCTTCGGTGCTCCATACGATTCACGGTCTCACCAATCAAGATTGGAGCCCATGTTGTTGTGTTCAGGTTTTGGAGACGCCAGTTCGTATCAGTTCTAGGGGCTGCCGGGGCTGTGAGCGATTGGCCGTACGTGGATGTCCTCCTTCTCTTCTCTATCCTTCTGTTCCCGCCTCTGCTCGCGAGGACCTCTGTGCGAGTATCGTCCAAGTGGGCTGACACACCCACGCGTGAGTCTTGATTGGCAGTCCGTATTCTCTGCTTGTGTCCTCTTGCTCTTAGTTCTTCTTCCTCCCATCCTCGTCTTCCCCCTGTCGTTTCGTTTGGTATATCATGCCGTCGCTGTAAGGCTCCACCGAATGCTCTGTACACAGACGCGTGCGAGCTGACGGCCGCCAGACGCTGCTCCGTCTCACGCTGCGGCGCGGCTCTGCTGCGATGAAAGAATGAAACAGAAGAAGAAGAAGATACGTGGGACAACAAAGAGGTGAGGGCGGGCAAGGGTTGCGTGGAAAAGGGAAAGGGGAGGGGGGGACAAGGCATGAGGCTGTCTTCATGGTCTGTAGGCTCTACAGCTCAGGGGGGAGGGCTCGAGGGCGTTGCTCTCCTCACGCTTCTCCCCAATGAGTAGCGATATGGTCGTGGAGCACAAATGTTCTGGCAGGCAGTCCGATGGAGCTAGGAATCGCGCCGACACCGATATCATCCATTTTCGCGCTCAGTATTGACACTGTCCACCTCCCACGTGGAGTATCTCGTTCGACTGCGCATGCGTTGGGTACTCGTGGTGCAAAGAGCATTGAAGTTCCTCTGCTGCAACCTCTCCCCCTCCTCCCCTCCTCTCTGCCGCATCGTTTCTTCACTGTTTCCTCTTATCTCGCCTGCACTTGTGCGGCCGATTGCGCAACTGTCGCAACTTGTGCGAGCTCGTGGGGGATCCAGCAGAGTGGCGTCGTATTCAGACCCGAATGGGAGGTTGCTCCCTTGCATGCTGCCAGAAACTCCAGTGTCTGCACGTTTGTGGACTCGTGGGAGTTCAGCGGGGCGACGTGTTACCCAGATCAGTTTGGAAACTCGCCTCCATGCGTGCGGCCAAATGCGCTACTGTCTCCACATTTGTTGGTTCGTGGTGGGGGGTCCAGCGGGGTGACGCCTCACCCAGCTCAGACTGGAACCTCGCCTCCAGGGCTGCTGCCAGCCCATCCTTACGAGTTCATAGGGGGGTCCAGCGGGATCACGTCTAACTCAGATCAGAATGGGACACCGCCTCCATGGGTGCTGCCGACTGCGCAACGATCGCCACCTCTGTGAGTTTCTGAGGGTCCCAATGAGCGGCGTCATTGCAGTGATCAGGCTGGGATTTTCCCGCAGCTCGGAGTCGGAGCTTGTCTCCCTGAGCGCTGCCAATTGCGGGAGGGAGATGGAGAATGAAGAAGGAGGAGGAAGGTCGGGGAGAAGGGCAGGAGGTAAATATGGCCGGCCCAGGACGCCAGGGTCTCCCAGGGCGGTTCGCCGCGTCGTGGCGTTTGGCGTCGCATCGCCGCGGATGCCCGCGGCAGAGGCCAGACAGGTCCTCGGCGTGAAGTCTGGGGCCACGCGCGACGAGGTGAAGAAGGCTTACCGCCTCAAGATCGCCCAGGTGCATCCAGACAAGACGAGGCCGGGAGGGGCAGACCGGCCACCACCACCACGCCTCCACAGGCCCATGTTGTGCCTAGGTGTTGGTGGGCATCGGCTCCTCCTGGCCAAGCTGGGAGGCCGCGTCCACTGAGATCTGGGCGCCCCGAACTGGCCTGAGGAGACCCGGTGGTGGCCAGCTCCACCATCCCTTTGCGAGGGACGGCGGCCAGATGCTGCTGCGGGTGCAGCAGGCCATGGCTGCGCTGGAGGAGCCGTCGGCGCTGGAGCAGTCGCCGGACTTGGATCAGGGCTCGCGGGCCACAGCCGCACGCGCCCAGTCGGCCGACCAGGACGGGAGCACAATCGACCTCAAGTTCAGGAAGAGCCTCGTCGACTGGGCCTCCAGCTCACTGCAGAGAGTCAGGTGGTCGACGGAGTGCCCGAGCTTGGCGGCCTTCCTGGAGAAGCCCAACGCGAAGGCCCTCGCGGTAGGCGAGCGCACGGGGGCACAGCGCTCGCAGCCCTGGGCCGCCGTCTGGGGCAAGGACTCCCAGGCCGAGGCCAACGGCGAGGCCCTGCGGGTCTGCCGGGAGCGCGGCGGCGCGAGGTGCCGCCTCGTCGACCTGGGTGCCGCCGCGCGGCAGAGGGGCCACCGGCCGACGCAGGCGGGCCATGAGGAGGTTCCGGGCTTCGGTTGGATGCCGCTGATCGACCCGAAGAAGGAGAGGCTGGTCGGATACAAGGTCGTCAGCGTCGGCGAGGGCTCTGACGCCGAGGCGCGCGTGCGGGTGCCAGTGTTCCGGCTGAGGGCCGGCAGCGGGCCGTATTACTACACGCCCGCGAGGCCGAAGCAGCGGGTCCACCTGGCCGGCGGCAGGACGTAGTCGAGCGGCCCCTCGGACGGGCGCCCTGACCACGCGCCTCGCTTCTGCCAGAAGGCCCGCAACCGAGGCCTGGACCACCCGTGGGAGTAGTCCCAGAGGCACCGAGGAGGGAGGATGAGGAGCAGCGGAGAGGGCGAGTACGCTGCAGGATGGCACGCATGTGATTGCACGAGCGTGTGCAGATGAATACGTCTACATAATATGTATATATATATATATATATATATATATATATATATATATATGAATGTGTGTGTCCTGGCATCGCTTGGACGTGTGCATTTTTTTCTCGGCGAGAATCATCGAGGACCATCCTCGACCAACGAGAAAAAAAACGCGCACGAAGCCGAAAAAATGCACGGGAAATGGACGTCCGAGCGGCGGCGAGGTGTGCGCGCACGTGTGTGTGATTCCCGCGCGCTCCGTGTGCCGCTCCGCCCTCACGCTCGCCCTGCGCTCGCAGACTTTCGTGGCCTCAGTGCGGTGCCCGCGCCCCCCCCGGCCTCTCCTCGGGAGGAAAAGAAACACGCAGACACAATGAATCCTCGCTTCCCCAGAAAATATATGAAAAAATGGAAAGTGGAGGGGAGAAGACAGAAGTCCAGAACAAATATGGGAAAATGTGGGGAACAGCTTTATTTGTGTGTATTTACTTGTGTGTCCTGGGGCCCCTCCATCTCCAGCCGTCGCTCGCCTCGCGCGCTCCCTGTCCCCTTGGCTTCGCTGCGGTGCCGGCGCGCGCCGCCGCTGCTCGACCGCCGTCCCGTCCTCTTTTCTGCGGCCGTTGCCGACGCCCCCAGCTATGGATTGCACACTCCCTTCCGGGGCCGCGCTCGCACAACTTCGGTGGCTCTGGACTCTCGGGCGCCCTGGGCGCGCTGGACGTCTCGGACGCTTCCGGCGCTCAGGACGCTCGGGGCGTCTCGGGCATCTCGGACACTTCGGGTGCCTCGGGAGCCTCCCACTCTGCAGGCGCTTCGACCGCTTCTGGTGCCCAGGACGTTGATGGCGCTTCGGACGTTTCGGAAGTCCCCGACGTTTCGGACGTTTCGAGCGCTTCGGATCGGACGCTTCGGACGTTTCGGAAGTTTCAGACGCTTCGGAAGCGTCGGACGATTCGGACGTTTCAAACGTTTCGGGCGCTTCGGACACTGCAGGCGCATCGGACGTCCGAAATGTCCAATGCGGCCGACGCGCTCGGAATGCCAGAGGCGCCCGAAACGCTTGAATTACCGAAACAACCGGCATGCATGTCAGATGCGACAGAAGCGTCCGAGGCGCCCGAAGCGTCCGAGACGCCCGAAGTGTTCGAGACGTCCAAGCTTCCCACAGAGACCGATGTTTTGTGTTTCTCTCTTTCTCTCTCTCTTTCTCTCTCTCTCTCTCTCTCTCTCTCTCCCTCTCTCTCTCTCTCTCTCTCTATCTCTCTGTTTTTGTCTCTCTCTCTCTCTCTCTTTCTCTCTCCCTCTATCTCTCTCCCTCTGTGTCTCTCTCTCTCTCTCTCTCTTTCTCTCTCCTTCTCTCTCTCTTTCTCTCTCTCTCTCTCTCTCTCTCTCTCTCTCTCTCTCTCTCTCTCTCTCTCTCTATCTCTCTCTATATAAATATATATAGAGAGAGATCTAGATATGTATATGTGTATATAATGTGTTGGTTATCTATCCCTCTCTCTCTCTCTTTCTCTCTCTCTCTCTCTCTCTCTCTCTCTCTCTCTCTCTCTCTCTCTCTCTCTCTCTATCTATATATATATATATATTTGTCTGTCTCCCTCTCTCTCTCTATCGCTCTCTCTTTCTCTTTCTTTATGTATCTCTCTATTTCTCTCTTTCCTTCTCTCTCTCTCTGTCTCTCTCTCTCTCTCTCTCTCTCTCTACGTGTATATATATATATATGTATATATATATACACACTGCCACGGCAACCAGGGTTCCCAGTTCGAGCCTGCGCCGAAGACGCTATTTGAAGACGCTATTCCTTGTGACGACGCGTCCCTGTGAAGACGCTATTCTTTGTGAAGACGCTATTCCCTGTGAGGACGGTGAAGACGCTATTCCCTGTGAAGGCGCTATTCGGGGTGAAGACGCAATTCCTGGTAAAGACGCTATTCCCGGTGAACACGCTATTCCGGGTGAAGACGCTATTCTTTGTGAAGACGCGTTCTGCGGACACAGACAGCACTTTCCTTATGAAGACGCTACTCCTTGTGAAAACGCTATTCCCGGTGAAGACGCTATTCCGTGTGAAGACGCTATTCCGGGTGTAGATGCTATTCCGGGTGAAGACGCTATTCTGGGTGAAGACGCTATTCCTTGTGAAGACGCTATTCCCTGTGAAGACGCTATTCCCGGTGAAGACGCTATTCCCTGTGAAGATGGCATTCCCTGTGAAGACGCTATTCCCGGTGAAGACGCTATTCCCTGCGAAGACGATATTCCCTGTGAGGACGCTATTCCCGGTGAAGACTCTATTCCCTGTGAAGACGCAATTCCGGGTGAAGACGCTATTCCGGGTGAAGACGGTATTCCCGGTGAAGACGCTAGTCCGGGTAAAGACGCGATTCCTTGTGAAGACGCTATTCCGGATGAAGAAGCTGCTTTTTGTGAAGATGCTATTCAGGGTGAAGACGCTATTTTTTGTGAAGACGCTATGCCGGGTGAAGACGCTGCCCCCAGTGAAGACGCTAGTCCTGGTGAAGACGCTATTCCCGCTGAAGACGCTTTTCCGGGTGAAGACGCTATTCCCAGTGAAGACGCTATGCCTGGTGAAAACGCTATTCCAGGTGAAGATGCTATTCCGGGTGAAGGCGCTGCTCCCGGAGAAGACGCTATTCTTGGTGAAGACGCTATTCCGGATGAAGACGCTAATCCCGGTGAAGACGCTATTCCGGGTGAAGACGTTATTCCTTGTGAAGACGCTATTCCAGATGAAGACGCTACTCCTCGTGAAGACGCTCCTTCTCTTCACCAGGCCCAGTATTCAACGCGTTCCCCTCCCAATTGTAATTTGAAAGTGCCATTTTACTTTACGCGTTCCATGCCTAACACAATGCGCGCCCCATCTGCTGTGCGACACCCTCTGCTAGGCAAGACCCTTCCCCAAGTTGATTTAAAATGAATATTCGGTGGTAGACATGCCCCAACTGCCGCGCAACACCCTCTTTTGGCCAAGACCCCATACTGGAGGACATTTCCCCAAGTTGATTAAAATAATTACGCTACCGAGGAACCCCACACACTTAACTTAAATATTGTGTGTTTGCTTAAGTTTATAATATATGCGCAATTCTGCGTTCTCAGCCCTCGTCGCGAATGTTCCCCTATGTGTCATCCAACGCCATATTGCTTGAACCTCCTCCCTCTTCCTAGCCTTCTATCCTCCGTCGAGGACAGATTCGAGCCAGCCAGCGGCCGCGGTGAGGGACCACCCCCTGCGCACCCTCGATGGTGTCGAGAAAGTGCCACGCCTGCTATGCCCTGGACGACCGTCGTGCGTAGCGGCCGCGGTGAGGGACCACCCCCTGCGCAGCCTCTATGGTGTCGAGAAAATGCCGCGCCTGCTATGCCCTGGACGGCCGTCGTGCATAGCAGCCGCGGTGAGGCACAACCCCCTGCGCACCCTCTATGACGTCGAGAAAGTGCCACGCCTGCTATTCCCTGGACGACCGTCGTGCATAGCGGCCGCGCTGAGGGACCACCCTCTGCGCACCTCCTGTGGTGCCGAGAAAGTGCCACTCCTGACACGATCTGCGAGCGTGTCACGGATAGAGGCCGCGCTGAGGGACCACCCTCTGCGCACCCCCTGTGGTGTCGAGAAAGTGCCACTCCTGCCAAGATCTGTGAGCGTGTCACGGATAGAGGCCGCGCTGAGGGACCACCCTCTGCGCACCCTCTATGACGTCGAGAAGGTGCCACGCCTGCCACGATCTGCGAGCGCGTCACGGATAGAGGCCGCGCTGAGGGACACCACCCTCTGCGCACCCCCTGTGGCGACGAGAAAGTGCCACTCCTGCCACGATCTGCGAGCGTGTCACGGATAGAGGCCGCGCTGAGTGACACCACCCTCTGCGCACCCCCATGTGGTGTCGAGAAAGTGCCACTCCTGACACGATCTGCGAGCGTGTCACGGATAGAGGCCGCACTGAGGGACCACCATCTGTGCACCCCCATGTGGTGTCGAGAATGTGCCGCGCCTGCCACGCCCTGCGAGCGTGTCACGGATAGAGGCACCGCTGAGAGACCACCTTCTGCGCCCCCCCAGTGGTGTCGAGAAAGTGCCGCGCTTGCCACGCTCTGCGAGCGTGTCACGGATAGAGGCCGCACTGAGGGACCACCTTCTGCGCACCCCCATGTGATGTCGAGAATGTGCCGCGCTTGCCACGCCCTGCGAGCGTGTCACGGATAGAGGCCCCGTTGAGGGGCCACTTTCTGCGCCCCCCCCAGTGGTGTCGAGAAAGTGTCGCGCTTGCCACGCCTTGCGAGCGTGTCACGGATAGCGGCCGCGCTCAGGGGCCACCCCTTGCGCACCCCTTGTGGCGTCGAGAAAGTGCCACGCCTGCTGTGCTTGGACGATTGTCGTGCATAGCGGCCGCGGTGAGAGACCACCCCCTGCGCACCCCCTATGGTGTCGAGGAAGTGCCACGCCTGCCACGCCCTGCGAGCGTGTCACGGATAGAGGCCCCGCTGAGTGACCACTTTTTGCGCCCCCCAGTGGTGTCGAGAAAGTGCCGCGCTTGCCACGCCCTGCGAGCGTGTCACGGATAGAGGCCCCGCTGAGGGACCACCCTCTGCGCACCCCCTATGGTGTCGAGGAAGTGCCACGCCTGCTCGCCTGCCGCATGGCGTGCCGTGTGTATGTGTATGATGCGTGTGCGGCCATATCGGGACATATCTCACGTGTTGCCCAGTATGTCGTGCAGACGTCTTGGGTGTATGATGCAGTGAACATGCGTCTTGTATGTGCGACTGTGTGCATGCGTGCGGCTGTGTGCGAGTGTGTGGGTGAGGAGGCGGGAGGTGTGTGAGACGCGGGTGCGGCGCGGCAGGGAAGAAAACCAGAACCCCACGACGAAGCATGTGGGGAAAAAAAGAATCCTTGATGGTTGACGTTCCCCATCTGCT